GATCTCATGGGACTTAGAGGACTGATCATTAACAACAAGCTTCATTGACCTAATTGTTAAGGACTTGATAATCGAGAAAACTTGTAGAGGACCTGGGGGTAAAGATGAAAAGAAAACACGTGCATTTATATTTCCTGCTAGAAGGTCCAGCTACAATATGAAAATGTCAGACTCAGATAAAGATAACAAACAAACAAGACTGATATATATTAAAACAAATATGTGTATTAACAACAAATTACAAAGCACATAGACATTTAACATTGTGTTTGTGTGTGAACATTTGTATGTGTGAACGTTCATATTTGGTGAATAGTTGTAATGTTCATAGCATTTTCCCAGAAATGAGAAACGTTGATCTTTTAAGACCTTACATCTTGTTGCTGAAATGAAGAAGAGAAATTTACCTCACCTCCATGCGAGGTGGGATTTGGCACAAGGCCTGAAGGAAAGAAGAGATTGAGGCAAGAGGTCACCCAGTATTTATAACATGGAGAGAGAGACACCTCATGAAGAATTTGGAAATTAAGGAGGAGGTAACTCCAACAAACTCTTCCAGAGATTCCATAGCTAGAGAATTTGTGTAGCAACCCCCTATGCCACATGGTCAAAGATCTTTTGATATATCTCAGATGATCATCCTCATGATGCATCGTCTAATATCTAATTGATTCCATTTCTCATCTTTACATTTATATTCTCCCCTCATCTCTTAATCCAGAAAAGGGAATTTAAAATCAGAGTAAGAGTGGTGGGGTCAAGTGTAAGATTAGCTTCAAATACATGAGTTGGAGTAAGGTTAGTTAGGGAAATGACATTATGATATTAACTATTAAGTTTTAATAGTGTGAGTTCAAATATCCCTTATCAGAATACAATTGTATTCTGATAAGTTTATTCTGATAAGGGAAATCCTTAATTGATAAGGGTAGTCTTAACTCCCCATTAAGACTACCCTTATCAATTAAGGATTTTTCCTTAGGCAAATAATGGAGCACCAACAAATCAATTCCAAAGAAGTAAATTAGTTGGAGAAATAATCAGATAGCTTACATTTCAATGGGCAAATTCAAAACTTCATGGTCAAAAATTGCAGCAGGGACAGTACCATTAAAAGTGATAATCTATCTTTTTATGGTAAGGACCCAGCTTACCTTCCCTTAGGAGGTAGAGAAGTCTAGCAGAAAAGAAAGAAATAATTTGGATCAAATTTTTGATAGTTTAAAGAACAAATTTCTATGTTTATTTTTCTTTTCCTCCCACCCTTTTTCTTTTTTTACAATGTAGAAACCCCAATAGACTTCTCACTCTCAGGATTTGTCAATCACTAAAAAGAATGACTAGTTAGATAGCAAGTTCCATTAAATGTTACAACTGGAGAAGGAAGTAATAATACAACAAACAATAATTAGAATAAACAAATAATACAATTTCATATATATATATATGTATATATATATACATTTTTTCTGGTCTTTTTATGGAGTTAAACCTATACACTCTTTTGTATTATGGATAACCAATTATGCCAGAAATTATTATAAAGTTAATGCATCTCAGCACCATCTTCACACAATAATTGTGAAATCTCAGAGGTCTTTCAGATTTACTAAGCCTTTTATTGTTTGTATAAGCATACTTTTAAAAATCTGATACATAAGGGAAGTTTTAGAAGCCATTCAAGTTTATTCAACTCTTTATTACTTGCATGAACAGATTTTTAAGAATTATTTGTAAAGTGATTTTTATTTTGGTGAAAATCATATCTGAATCTGCACATTTGACACTGTTCACTTTTTGTAGTTAATTTTAGGAAAAATGGCACTGGAAATTTGCTAATGTATTACAAAGTTTTATTTTGATGCTGCTGCTATGTGCTATGAATGATTTACAAAGTTAAAAAAGAAGATTTTTAGCACAACAACAAACAAGGAGATTTCAAAATTTGAAAATTGAATTGAGGAAACTTTTAAAGGAAGATGTGACATATAGTTGCAGAAGAATTCAAGATGAATACATTGTTTTATTTAAATGAAGAGAAAAGAACTTTATTTCTGGGAAAAGAAATTGACTGGCAATTTTGTTGCATGATGATTCCTCCTCCTCTAAACCAGTGATTAACAACATGAGCACTCAGGTTGATTGAAGCTAATATTTATTCTTATGCGTAGTAAAAGGTAAGGGGTTGGGTGCTATTATTTTATATAAATAAAATTTAGCAATATAGAGAAAACATAGTTTAAATTTAAATAGATAAAACAAGTCAAAACCTAGATTAAAACAGATTGTTTTATTATTCATCTTTATATTCAGGTTTTCTGATTTATTACAATTAATAAAATTTAAAATTAATATTAATTGATAATTTACTTACCTATTTCTTACTATATAATTAAATATATAGTATAGAATATAAATTTACTTAATATTAAAGTGTTAAGATTATATAATTGCATTAGACTAAATATATAATTAATAAGTAATTAAATTAATATTTACAGTTTGGTAGGTGTATAGATTTTCTTAATAATAAATTTTCCACGTAATAAATATAATAATTTATGATGAGTTATTAGTATTAAAATTTTTTTAATAATTATGTAATAGTATTAATTTTAAAGTCATTATTTTCATTTATTTATAATATTTTTTAAACACCTCCTTTTTTTAACATTTTTGTTTGATTTTTTTTTATGTAAATTGTTTTATAACAATTTTTTTCCATTTGTACAAGAGTTAATATGTTAATTTTAGAGCTTTGTTCATCTTCAACCATCTTTTTTCTGTCTAGACTTGTTGCGGTCACTCCAACCCTAACCACCTTAATTTCTTTATCTCTCTATCTCTCCATAAATCTCATTTCCCTTATATGTTGTTTGTTCCTCTTTCTTCTTTCTCCTTTTCTCTTTCCTTCCTTCTTTCCTTAATTTTATTTTTCAAATTTCCTAAAGAATGTTAGAATTCATTTCTTTAACAAATGTATTTGCATCAGCAAGTCCCAGGGAGAATCTCCCAAATATGAAATGCTCATCTGAATGAGTAATTTGGGTTTCATTTTTGTAATTAATATATATATATATATATATATATATATATATATAATAAATAAGACAAATAAATGCCATAGGACCATAGAATTGGGAAAACTCTTAAATAACACTAACAAAACAAAATTCCTGAAAAATTTAAGATGAAGAATCCATTGTTTTATTCGAATGAAGAGTAAAGAACTTTATTTCTGGGCAAGGAAGACTCTCATCTTAAACCAGTGATTATCAACATGATCAGTGTCAGTAAAGGTTAAGGGTTATTAAGGGGTTGGGTACTATTATTTTAAGCCATATCCTCTTGACATCAGTTTAAAATGATAGTCTCTTTTTTCCATATATCTAAATTATAATTATAAACTATAATTTTGAAAAGTGAAAATTTGACTGAAATATTTTTTAAAATTTTGACATTTTCATCTGAAATCCAGAAAATATGAACTTTAATAAAAATGGAAAATAACAGTTTAAACTGACACCAGAAGGATACATGAGTATAAAGATTATTTAATCCTTTTAAACTGAATAAGTCATTTTATATATACATTTCTTTTGTCTATGTATTTTATTTTTAGAAATATTTTAAATATGCAATATATGTATAGAGGAAAAATTATCATATCAAAGACTGGAATCTTAGATAATTAGGCAGAGTGAGTGTTGCCTGGCAGTTCCCACCATTGCTTAACTTCTGGTAATTGATGATTTTATAATGAATCAAAATGTAAACACATGACATTAAGTCTGTTGTGTTAATTCAGCTCCATTTACCAGTACAATTTTAATACAAGAGATGATTATCTGTGCAAATACCTGAAAAAGAATTCTGGAGAAGAAAATGTAAAGAATCACTTCTCAAATCAAAGGGAAAATAAATTCATGGATTCAAAGATTTTGTTTACTTGAAAAAAAAAAAAGGGAAATTCTAATCTAGAAGATTCTTAAGATTTCAAATGCGTTTCAAACTGTCTTTTTAATTTTGCTAATTTTACATTTGAATTTTAACCATGGACTATATGGGAGTGAGAAATGGCTTAATGGAGAGGACATGATAGAAATGACAGATTCAAATGTTGGTGATTGATTCTTGGTTTACATTCTGTTGATACTTTCTGAAAAGGCATGAACCCAAATGTTGCTACATCATCTCATTTTAATATATAAATTTGTTTTCACAATGGCAAAGTGAAATAGGCTAATAAAGCTTGTTATATGTAATCTTTTCACTTGTTAGGATTCAAATCTAAAATTGAAAGAGTGTAGAATAAATGGGATAGCAGGAAAAGTGAATTAATTTAGAAATTTCTATAGATTCTGGTAGGAAGGAAAAAATTTGTCTTAGAATGCTCATGACCTAAATTAAGGGGGAAAAGTGGAAATGTCTTGAATATTTATTAAGAGTGGAGTGCTGGAATAATGATGTCTTGGGTGAACCTTTCTAAAAAAAAAAATAAAAAATAAAAAAAATCATCATGTCCGCCTATTTGAAACTCTAAGATAAACTCAGACATCAGTTCATGAAAAAGAAAAATCAAATCACTTTTTAAAATCAAGGGAATGTATATTTCAAATCCACTCTTGCCATAAAAGAATAAAACTAAATTTTACAATTGAAAGAGAGCAGACCAAAAACAAAAGAAAAAACTTTCCAATTATCTCCCATAAAGGATACTCTTGTGACACTGGGAGTGGGGTGCAGTGGAAAAGACTTAAAATAGGAAACAAGATGATCTTAGAATTGCCAGTGAATAACGAGAATAGAAGATAACACATTTGATAATCAAGTTCGCCATTATTATTAGTTTTTTTTAAAAATTTTTTAATCAGGTTCAAAAGTGTGAATATAAAGACAATAAATGGAACTTGAAAGTGGAAGATTTGAAGACAAATGTCATCCATGATGAAATCTTTGATGCTGTGATGGTTTGTAATGGAATCTTCAGTAAACCAAGAATGCCAACATATTCAGGAATTGCAACATTTTCTGGACAAATTCTTCATTCACAGCTATATCGAAAAGCTTCAGATTTTTCTGACAAAAGAGTTTTGGTAATTAGCATAGGAAATACAGGAAGTGAAATTGCAGTAGAACTGACAACACAAGCTAAACAGGTAAGTAAACATTATTGATTATGAAAATCTATATATATTTTTAATCATAACTTTTATCTGAATTTGCAAGATGAAATGTTTCAACAATTATTCAGACTGTATACTGTTTCTATTATATTTTAAGCAATAAGTTCTTTGTTCTTCTTCATATATGTAATCATATTTTTCAGTCTTTGGATGTTACTTCTGCTTCAGTGAGAGCTTATTTTTTTTAGCTCAAAAAATTTACTGAACCAAGTGGTTAAAAAATCTTGAGTAGTGTTTCAAGATTGTCAAAGTGATGCTGGAAAATTTGAATTTGTATAGTGGTGTGTCTGCTCGTTAAATAGGAGTTTAGGGTTTGTTATCTCAATTAGTTCTTTTTTTTTGTTTTATAGCATATTACCCACAATGGGTTATTTAATGCTGACAAAATTTTTACAATAGATTCATACGAATAGAATATATATTCTTTGTAAGGAAACAGTTTGTAGATCTGTTTTCATTGATATACTTTTGTAAAGAGGGTTGTTATCATGAGTCTGCTTTCATTGATGTATTTCTTTTGTAGAGAAATTGATTTTGATATTCTCATTTGGTTTATAATTTTAGGTACAGTTCTACTGTTTTGAAAAATAACATTATATCATCCACTTTAACTTTCTCAAACAGCTCCTACATATTGTTTGTATCAAAAGGATTTTTGTCTTGATAAAGCAAGATCTGAACCCTTGGTTAATATACGTTGAATAGTAGATGCCGTTTGACATACTTGGCATGTTGGTTGATCTTCTTTGTTTAGTAAGTGCGAGTGGGTTATTCTTGTATGGCCAATGCAGACACTGGCCAGTAACACTTTTACCTTATGAGAATTTCTGGGAATTGACTTCCATTCTCCTAGTTTGGGTTGGTTTGCCAAAAAGTTTATTGTGTAGGTTATCATTCCAGTTTTGAATTCTTTTGAATGTATTAATAACCTCCTTAAAATCTGTGTATGGGATTTTGATCTTTGTGTCCACATTCACATCTAAAGCTGACTTGGCTGCTCAATCAGCTTCATTATTTCCTTTAACTCCAATGTGGCTAGAAAATCCAACACAGTTTGATGTTCTTATGCTTGTTAATAGTGATCACTTTGCATAATATTTTCATAAGCAGGTTGTTGGATTTTTTTCCCCCTTCAAAGCCAATAGGATAGATAGTGGGTCCCAAAAAATTAGTAAATTTTTTGTTTGCTCCCTGAGATAATGTTAAGAGCAAGCTTGATTGCATAAGACTCTGCAGTGCAAAATAGAGCTTCTCTTTTGGAGGCACAATTTTTCTTTTTTTTCTTTTTTCACTATTTTGGCTCATTGCTGCACATCCTATCCTGTTCTTGCATTTTGACCCATCCGTGTCGATGGATGTATGGCTGGGGAAGTTCGCTAATATTTCCTGAAACTTATCCTGGAATGTGAGTGGGTGCATTTTTTATTTTGTGAGATTATGTAATTCTAGCAGAACTTTAGGTTGCTTGATAGTCTATGGTGGAATATTGGCTGAAGTTATTTCTTGTATATTTGAGAGTGTGGTACCTAACTCTTCAGCAATAGATTTCATCCTGAGTCTGTAGGGCTGCATAGCTTTATCTTTTTATTGGAATAGATTGCAATAATTTGCTTCAAAGGTACTGTTGTAACCTGGTTTATTTGAGCATGATTTTATTTTTACCTACTTACTGTAGTGCGAGTTTAGTGTGCCATAAATGTGAAGGTGTTTCATTAGCTTTTGTGTATAAGCTCCTCACTGGATATGTTCTGAAAGCCTAGTGTAGCCCCATATATAAAATTAATGTAATCCAGTTTTGAGAGAAGTAGTGATCTCTCTAATTTGATCAATGTTAGTTGATCTGCTTGCCATTCAGTACAGGACACTTTGCTACATTTTGTTTACAAATATTTTAGATGGAAAAATAAACATTAATTTTTTTTATCAAAGATAATGCAGAGAAACTTGTGTTGTTACACTGCTGGGATTTATGCTTTGTCTAATTTTAAACATGGGTCATTGTGCAATTTTCTCAATTTGCAGAAATGTAGACATTTGGCTTACATTTTGGAAAAAGTAAAACCATTTTCAGTGGTCCATTCGTGTATTCTGTTGAGACATTGTTGGAGTTGTCTTTTTATGGTATACATATGTTGAGATCTGTACATGATTAGAAAATTGTCGACATATAGAGAGCCACTCACTACTAGGCATGAGTTTTAATGATGGAATTAATTTTCACACACACAAAAAACGTCACCAAAATAATGCTTCATTGTGGAACCCCTTCTTGATCTTGCAAATATTATGGATCACCACCCATGGCAAACAAGTGGCCTCAATGAATGGGGTTTTTACCTTTCTGCAGAGGTGCAGTAAGCATATTCTGAAGACCCAGCTTATCAGGCCAATATCTCAATTGGAGAAATGCAATAAAGTTTAAACAATATACAGGTTATGACCTCACCTGCCAGATTTATTGCAGATAATCCACTCAGGGATGGAATTGTAAATTTATTATTTTCTTAACAATTATTTTCAGTCATTTGTAGGGGGATTGTTTCTATTTGTTTCTGACTGACTCTTCTTATTTTTATTAGGTCTACGCAAGCACAAGAAATGGGAAATGGTTTGCGAAGAGATTAACTCCTGTAGGTTTACCACTGGATATTCATTTTACTCAACGAATAAAAGGATTTATTTTGAAGTTTCTACCCAGAAGACTTCAGCAGCTTTGGTTTGAAAATCTTTTGGCTTTGAATCATAAATTCTTTGGACTGAATCAAGAGTCTGGCATGACTACAAAAACACTAAGTGTAAATGATGAAATTATTGACAAAATTTCTTGTGGGAAATTGATTATTAAACCAGACGTGGAAAAATTTACTTCCCATGATGTTTTCTTTGTAGATGGAACAGTTGCAAATGACATTGACGTTGTCATATTTGCAACTGGATATGAAATAGATTATCCATTCTTGGAGAAATCAATGCTAAAAATGAAAGATGGTAAACTGTTTGCTTACAAGCACATGTTTCCTCCTGAGTTGATTGACCAAAATTTTGTTATAATTGGTTGCATTCATGTGTTTGGACCGGCACCTCCACTGCATGAGAGTCAGTGTCGTCTGGCTACTCGATTGTTCAAGGTAATGATTTTCGTTCTTGTTATGTGTCATTATCATTTAGTTATGCTGACTGCACCTCTGCAGAGAGGTAAAAACCCCATTCATTGAGGCCACTTGTTTGCCATGGGTGGTGATCCATGATATAAGGGGTTCCACAATGAAGCATTATTTTGGTGACGTTTTTTGTGTGTGTGAAAATTAATTCCATCATTAAAACCCATGACTAGGAGTGAGTGGCTCTTTATATGTCGACAATTTTCTAATCATGTAAGGATCTCAACATATGTATACCATAATGAATTATTGTTATTGATCTTTTTCTGAAAAGTCAATTCTAAAACCTTTAAAATAATCCAAATCTTGAAAAATAATCAAAAAAGGGGAGATAATTAAAATTTTTAACTAATTCTCTTAAAATTATATTTATATAATATAACTATTGTAGTCTTAACATGTATCTAAATGCACTCTCTTCTGTAGAGCAAGGAAGAATATATAGCTTCAGTCTGTAAAGTAGTTGAAGAAGAGACCTGATAGTTATAAAAATAAGCACTGATGTTTACCTGGATTCAAACGCCTGACAACTGAAGCCAATGTGCAACTGTCTCAGTCAACTCATATAATAAACATGGGTTGCTATTGAGAAGGGGTAAGATGCTACAAAGCCTCGTTCCTCTATTCACCTACAGCTTACACCATCACTTATAGTGTGTACCAGTGTATCTATTAAATGATGTATTTTACAAAACAAGCTGACATCTGTATCAAAAAATAATTTTTACAATGTTTACAAAATGTTATAAGTTTCCCTACTACCCTCAGATTCATTAATGATTATGTTGAGATGAAAAAATTGGGCTTTTCTTTGAATATAAAGCCAAAGGTCAAATATTCAGACATTCATGCCACAATTAATAGTTGGCCATTCTTAGATTTCTATTTGTCCATCTACCAATCAACTAAGCAAAGAAGAAGCCAAAAGAGAATGGAAATATTCTTAGAAAACTATATTGTCTTCTGAATTGTCATTTACTTCAAATAATCAACTGAGAATAAAAAAAAATATATATGATTTCTTTTTCATCGAGCATAGGAGATCAGTCCAGAAAGTATCCAGCCATTTAAGACAATGATATCTTAATCTCCTTCTCTATGATTGGTTGCCAAGTTTCATCAAGATCAAACAAAGAATTATTGATATATTCAAAATGGCTGGATTATTGATGCAAACTTTTGAAGAGAACACACACAAATAGATTAGGAGAGAAAAGTCTTTTGTAATAAAAGGCAAACCTATAAAAATTGTTACAAATTCTCATATTTTTTCCTTTTCTTTAATAAGTTAAATTGTTGTAATGTATTAAAGTCAATAATGGCTTAAATATTTCCTATTTATGTGAATATTTCAAGATATTTTGTGATTTTGTGTGAGTAAATAAATTTGAGATATTTTATAAGAAATCTATGATTTTGTATTCTGAGAAAATAGAATAATGATTTTATCAAATATCATCGTCTAAGTTTCCTAAAGTTTCTGGGGTTTTCTTTCAGGGCCTAGTAAAGTTACCCCCAAAAGAAGTGATGCTTGAAGAGATCAATGCAACACTTGACACCCAACAAAATGTTGATGCAATACGTTATCAGGATGCGTTGTGTGAGTTCATTGGTTGTAAACCAAACCTATGTAAGTTGGCCTTTAATTGTATATCTATTGATTGACTCTGAAGAGATTACTAAGGGCATTGACAGCATTAGGATCATGTCTATTTTTGGAATCATATATAATTGAGAAGAATGTGCTTGTCATTTTGATAACCATGACCGAGGCATTGTAGTGAGAGAAAAAGAAAAAGATCACTATTTTAAAACAAAACAAAAAAAAATATAAAGCTAAAAGTTGGCAGACCATTTTGGATTGGCATAAAGAAATAAAAACCTAAGAAAAAATGAAGAAATAAATAAGAGGCCAAAATGTTGTCTTTCCTAAATGTAGGTAAAGAAAAAGGGATTATTGTCAAATGAGTCATTTCTGGAGCCAATCAAAATCAAGAACAATACCGGGGGTGGGGTGGGGATGAATTCTATTGTCTTAAAAAAAGTGTTAAGGTAGATAGTGACAGGCAGGCAAATGGACCAGACAAGCCACTGAAAAGAATTTCATCTGCTGTCACTTAACTTCAAGCTTCAGACACCTAAAAATCCAACAGAGATTCAAAAGAATTACTACTATCAAGAAATACTTACATACCTACATCAACATTAACAAAGAATATCACCTCTCTCTCTCTCATATATATATATATATATATACACACACACGCACACACACATACATACATACATACATATATATATATTATAAATTAATTGATTTAAAATATTAATTTTTTTTAGCTACACAGTTCCAACCATGTTTCAAAATAGAAGCTAAAACCCTAATTTTATTTTTGCAAATAAATTAAAAGCATGCTTTTAAATTATTTGCAAAAATAAAATTAGGGGTTTTTAGCTTCTATTTTTGAAACATGGTTGGAACTGTGTAGCGAAAATAACCATATTTTAAATCAATTAATTTATAATATTAATGCTCTGTAAATTTACATTGAGCACTATTTTGTAAAAATAAAATATCTATAAGAACACCGGATTTTATATCTTACTGTTCTTTTCTTTTTATTTATATACATACATATATATATATATATATATATATATATATATATATGCTAAGAACTTTTAATACAAGAACTTTCTAATTAGAACTTATGAATCCTTTGAATATTATTGTCTATTTTATTTTGAGAGATATAAATATTTTTCAGTACATGCAATATATATCTTTGTATTAATTATCTTTGCATGCATTTTTAAAGGCCATAAATTGTTGTATATTTGGATTAAGGACCTTATCCGAAGATAGTCACCTGTAAACCACTACTTAGGTGACTTCTACATCCAAACATCAATTCTCAAACACCCACACCATTACATATATAAACCTCAAATGTTCAATGTATTCAGTTTTCATGAAGGGGGGGGGGGTCTTACCCTGAAATAGTTTTTTTTTCTTAGTTAAAAAATGATGTAGATTTCAAACAATCAATGATAAACAATTAGTGGGAAGATACTTTTGCTGGGTTTAATCATACAGAAGTAAAATTTTTATACTTTTAAATTGATTGCTTTAATAAATTAATTATTCACATTTACTTACTTATTATTAATTACATTTATGGGTTTTCAATTTGTAGATTTAAAATAATTGCATAACACTATCTCTTAGGCTAAACAATTACATAAAAAATACAAAAATTTCCTAAGTGTCATTCATTTTAATTAAAAAATATTTTTCTTCAAAACGTCATGAAATTTTTCACAGTACAATGTTAATTCTGTAGTGGTATTGACTGCCTAAATCAATCCATACATTTTTTACTTTGCAAATGTGTAAGCAAACGAAAAGCAAACAAGAGGAACAACATAAAAACTGCTCTTATAACAAGAAACAATCTTCATTTTACTGTAAAACACAAAAGCCATCAGGTGTATGATTTTCATATAGTGATAGATGAAAATTATACAGTAGGAGTTATTTCCCTTTAACTGTTATTCGAATTAGGCACGGTGCAGTAATGGATAGCAGCTTGGATTGAGGAATCGGAGAGCCGAGTTCGAATTCCAGTCGAATCCATTACATTCACTTACGTGCTAATACCCTTGGGAAAGGTGTGAATCCTCTTCTTCTTCCTCCAGCTATGGGTAAATAGCAGGACAGATTGGGTTCTATAGCCTTGGCTGGCAACTGGTCTAGGAGAAGGAAAAACTCTGAATTTAAAACCTGCGGAGGGTCGTTTGGGGACCTTGTGGCTCGTAGTGCACCAGGTCTCTGCAATTGGCCCTTCAAAAAGTGTGGAGGGTCCTGCACAAAACCTTCACCACTATAATCAAATCTCATGTGGGGACTGCTTGTGAATTCCAAATTCCCATGAAACTCCAATATTGGAGCCGGCTCAACCCACCTCAGGTGAATGCCGTTACAGGTACAGGAATTAGGTAAGACTTTAAGGAAAATATATTTTTTTATCTGGACTCACAGAAAAGATTTCAGTTCATGAAATAATATTAATTTTCAATGGAAAGAATGTTCTTCTATAAGAAAGTGTTGTAGGTTGAAATTCGGTATAAAAAAGAGTTCAAACAAACTTGTTGATGGAGGAAAAATGTAATCTTCACTTGAATATTGAAAAGTTGAATTAACTTGCCGCTTATTGTTGTTCACCAAAAAGAGCTGAATATGAGTGAAAGAATTCTTGAAAGCTGAGAATATGTCAAATCATAACTTAAAGCTCCAGAAAATTTTGAAGTAATATTTCTTGCTGGTGAATACTGACAAGAGTCGAAAGTTGTATAGTTGAATAAGTTTCTGTTGCTTGTACTTGAAGAAGTGTTCAGAGATGTGCAATGTTCATATGTACATGTGTGTGCATGTTTCATAGTATCTACCATTAAGGAACAGACACAGGCTCTTCACTTATTACATTGTTGTGGTGTGAGAGAAAAGCAAAAGCGAAAGAGTTGAAAATGTTGCTCTATTATTTACTATCAAGCCATGTGATAGACTCAAAGTACATAGACAGATTTTGGGCAGAAATATTTTTGTTCAGGTCAGAAACTAAGTGGATACAATTCAGACGTAGTTGAAAACATGATATTAGTATTAATTGACTAATGAGGAGTCAGAGAAATAGTAAAGTAGGATTTTTAACTCGGTGATCCCCTTTTTGCACAGATTTTTGTCAATCGCAGTACTGTTACATAAGAAATGTATTGGGATCTTTCTTAACCAATGGAATTAATTAGATCACAAATAAAATATTTTTAAATTGAAGGTAAAATACTAAAATTCCATAAAATAATATAAAAATATATAACTCTTTTATGTTTTCTGCTATTTGGATTTTTATTTTATAGTAACTATTATTTTTTGGAAGACATCTTTCAAAGGCATTGTCAAATTTTCAGTCGTATGATAAAATACATCCTAGATATTTAAATTTTTCAATGTCATGAAGTTTGTTGACCCCACCCCCCAAAACAACCTCGTAAACAACAAGCAGTTTGAATTTCGCTCTTCTAGGTCCTAACTCCTGTCAGAGAAGTGCTCTATAATAAATTCATCAAGAGATGGAATGCCTTAGATAACTCAAGTATCTCAGGGGCGGGAGGGTGGGATTTGGGTCGGGTAACATGTGGCATAGATGGGTCACTACAAAAACATTCCAGATTTTAAATCACTGTGAGGCACTTTTGAATCATCAAGTCCTCCCTATTAGGTAGGTTCTTGAATTTTGTTTTCAATTAGGTTAATGTAGGCTTCTCAAGAATCTCACTCTTGGGCAATATTTAAAGTTTAAGATTTACAGTATGAAAGATTAGCAGTAAACCATAGGTGAACAGAAAAGTGTCATTCATTTTAATTAAAAAAAATTCTTCTACAAAACTTCATAAAATTTTTCACAGAACAATATTAGTTCCATAAGATAATATAAAAATATATCATTATCTTTTGTTTTCTTTTATTTGGATTTTTATTTTAGAGTAACAATTATCATTTAAAACCATTTGGTATAAGGCTATAATTTCTTTTTTAATGTGCAGATAAAAAAAAAAACTTGTGGGATTTGAAGAAGCAATTTCATCATCCAAAACATATATTTCCTACTTTTCATGGTAATTTGTCATTTGGAAAAAATGGAATTGCGTTTGTTATTTTTGTTTGTTTTTTCTTTCTTCTATTAATTATTGCATAGGTATTCTAGAAATGCCGTAAAGATTGTAGATTGCAAACAAGGAATGCAATGATGGAAAAAAATATAATGTATTTAGTTGTGATGGGAAGGAATGGTAACAGAAATTGAAAATTCAGAAATGTTTAAATTCTTTGAATTTATCCTGTATAAACAATATACATTGTATAATTCTGTACAAGACTATAAGAAACATGAAGCAAAAATTGAAATGTACAGGAAAAAGAAAAATGATCTTTGAAGGGAGATTTTATTTTACAAATTCAAATTTTAGTTCACATTTAAGAAAAACACAATAGGAGTGATTGATAAAATAATAGATCAATCAATGCATTTTTTAAATCTGTTAAAATATTATCAAGGAAAAATTTATCAAAGATTTGGTTAAAACACAAGTAATGGTGAATTCTGTCAGGAGATCATTTTAAAGATAAAAATAGAAATTGAATTAATAACAACGATTTTTCTATTTTGTTGCTTAAACAAATATGATGTGTGTTTCAAAATAACATTTTTATTTCCCCTGAGTACATTTATCCTATCAAAATGATTTTCTTTTTAGGTCATCTGCTCTTATCAGATCCATACCTTGGACTGAATGCCATTGTTGGCCCTTGTACTCCCTATCAATTCCGTTTGACTGGCCCTGGAAAATGGGCAGGAGCAAGATCTGCCATACTTGATCAATGGAAACGAATGCATTACCCGACAAACAAACACCTGAAATCAAATCTACCACCATGGATAAAAGACTTTCTAATTGCATTTGTTATATTTTTTGTGATGATTCAAATTTTTTTCTTTGGAATATTCCTGTCAAAATAGTTCTGATCGGATGAATGTATAGAAAGGTTTTTTCTTTTTTCTTTCAAAATGTATAAAAATAGTTTTTCTTCTCTCTTTCAACATACATGCATAAAAATGATTTTTTCTTTCAATATACATGTAGGAATTTTTTTTCTTTATTCTTTCAATATAGATGTAAGAAAATTTTTTTTCTCTCTCAAAATGGATTTTATATATTCTACGAATATTTCTATAACACATATCCTTTTAATTGCCAGAATTGTTGTCATCAATTATAAAAACAAACAAATAATAAAAAAAAACAGTAAATAGTTTAATTTGAATTAACATTGCCTAATCATTATCTGATCATGTGATCATCTAACACAGGTATTCCCAACATTTTTCCTTGCCAACCTCTATAGTAATTATTCAAAAACAGACTAAAATTGTTTGGTAAAAATTTGTTTCTGGTTCATAAACTGACTTTATGATGTAGTAAAAACTACCAAAGGTAAAAAAATAATGCTGACTTATGGAGGGAGTGACTGCTGCTGCTGCCATATTAACGAACAAATGAAAGCAAACTTGATAATTTAAAACATATATATATATATATATATCTCCAAATGAGAGAAAGAACAAATGGAGTAACATTCCATTGTTTGTAGCATTTACTTTTTAAAAAAAAGTGCTCAATACAAAGTAGAGCAATATATTATTATTATTTTTATTATAATACATTACAATAAAAACCAAAAAAAAATTTATTCCATTGGAATCGTAAATAATTTACAATTCCAATGGAATAAATTATGACGATGAAATATTGGTGTTTCAGCCTTTTTATCATATCCTTACTCTGTCCTGGACATTGAGTTCTACCTGGATTCTATCCTTTCAGAATTTTTTATTCAAAAAATATACATATATGTGTATGCACCTATGTATATATATATATATTTATATATTTTGCATATGTATGTGTATATTTACCACTAATATTATCTATCTATCTCTCTCTCTCTCTCTCTCTCTCTATATATATATATATATATATAGATATATATATATATATATATATCCAAATGAGAGAAAGAGCAGATGGAGTAACATTCCATTGTTTGTAGCATTTACTTTTTTTAAAAAGTGCTCAATACAAAGTAGAGCAATATATTATTATTATTATTATTATTTTTAGAGATTACAATAAAAACTGTATTAAAAAACAAATGAAAGCAAACTTTAACATTGAAAACTATATATATATATATATATATATATATATATATATAATCTCACCAAATGAGAGAAAGAACCAATGGAGATGGATTATAAAAAGTGCTCAATACAAAGTATCATTATAAGAGATTATAATAAAAACATGTTGAAATTGCTACACAAAAGCTTTCATGTTTCAATACTTTGATTGTACTTCCTCAGGCAATGGTACTTTGCTTTTTGAAATTTTCTTAAAAATCATTTAATCACTAGTTACTTACCATTATAATCTTATATATATATATATATATATATATATATATATATATATATATATATATATTTATTGTGTATTAAGGCAAACAACTCCCTTTTAAGCATGTCTGATTAAATAAATTACAGAAATTATGTTTGCTTATTTTTTAACATGATCTGTTCATAGTCATGAATAACCTTCCATGTATTGCAATTAAATGATGTGAGAAATGTTCTATAACTGTGAAAATTGCTTTTATTTGCCATGTACTTTTTATCTTCTTCCGAGTTCATCTTCAGGAGTGCAAGTAGTAATAAAAAACTGTGTGTTGCTATCTATTACTATAATTTTTCATTTTGCTTTTAAATGCAATGGTTGACAGTCATGCTTAGCATTCATTTTATATAATTATATATATATATATATATATATATATATATATATATATATATAAAATTTAGTTTTATGGTTAGGTTTGTATCTGTTGACAAAAATTAAATGATTTTTGTTCATAATTATAAAATTAAAAAGAATATACACTATAACAACTAATAAAAATTTAAGCACATATTTTTTTTTGTTTTTGGTCTTCCCTTATATGATTTATATCCAGAAAAAAAAACATTATTTCATCTGAAGAACTATTTGAATGTCAATGACTTTCTGAAAACTATAGAAAATACCAAAATATTTGTTGTTTTCTGGATATTGCCCAGGTTTGAAAATGCTGATCTTCTAATAAACAATCTGATTTAATAATACTTTGATTCTATTTTCTTTGCATTTTTTTGTGTGACATGGTTCAGAGTCTAGACATAGGATCTTTCAGCAACCCCCCTCTTCACTCAGGGCAGTATTACTTCCTCAAGGCACTTGATGTAGGCCTCTGTGTTGAGTCTGAGGTCCTGTGGGAAGATGAATGGAGGCATGTTTGCCATTATTAGTGATCCCTTCAAACACCTTCGTAATCACCATTAGACTCATCCAACTCTTTCTGAATCCTCTGCACTGTCCTCAGATTGACACCCAACTGTACAGTTGATAAAATCAAAAACAAACAATATGCATAAAATGGCAACAATTTGCCAATTGCAGCATGTATTATAAGAAAATTGGTGAAGAAAATGGCTGTTCTAAGATTGATTTTCTTGGAAAGGTGTCTTCAAAATACTTTGGTATCATTCTTTATTCAGATATAATTTACCTTTCTTCATGTCTCTGAGTGAAGAATTTCTTTAAGTGAAGATTGCTGGAGAAGTGACTTCTTTACCAGAAGAGCCATGAGATATATTGTGTTTTCATATTTTAAATCTAGATATCATTGGATGCTGGGTGGATTTATGGATGTACAGCTGAGTAGCTAAAATATTCACTCTCTAACCATAAAATTTGTGTTCAAATCTAGCCATTGTTAATTTATCAGGGAGGTGAGTTCTTGATATTACTGGTCTGAGGAAGTAATCCTAATTGAAAAGTGCCTGAAAACTACATCATGAGTCAGTCTAAGCCTTGTGAGTAAAACTGGTTAGACAAAACTATTTGGAAGCCATTGATGGTTGTATCAGGACAATGTCACAAGTCATCATGACCAACGGTTTGTGTGTACTGGCCTTGTTCTAACTGTTTCCAGCTAATGCACTTTCTCCCAGAAACTGTAACTAAGGTCTGCTCAGCATAGTTGCAATTTAAACCAAAAGTGGGCTCTGTTGAACAAACACAAATATACCAGAACATTCATTTGAAACAGGTATTGATTAGCTGTCCTAATAGATGTCCTTGAAAATAAGTGGCAAGTTTTTACTATAAACAGATTTGTACATTAATTGTATTCCAATATACACTTTTCTACTTTTACCCCTAGAGCTGATGAATCAAGTCATAACATGAAAACTATTCTTTTCTGGTTTTCTTTACTTACTTTTGTTTTTAGGATAAAAATATGAAAGCATTTTTCTCTCAGTAATCTTATCTTGTATTAAGAATATATTTCATACTTTTAATATTTTCTAAGATTGTTTTTTTCCTTAAGGTTGAATGGATACAGATTTAAATCCATAACAAGGAAATGAGATATTGCTTTTGTTCCATAAACTTTGCTACTCTTAGTATGTGAAATGTGTATGTAAATCTAACAACGATAGTAGGACAGATGGTAAATTTTTATTTTCTAATTTTGACAGAATTAGTCACCTTTTTTCACTAGTCATGTTACAAAGCTGATTTTAATGTTTATTGATATTAATGATATTTTGAATATGGAAGCTGCAGACATATTTTAAAATACTTTCAAGTTGGTACTTTTAATTTGAAATAATTGACTAACCACTGTCAAGTTTGACAAATACTGCAGCTGTTCACTAGCCATCTCTTTTTATTATTGCTCTTTATGTTTTACCAGTGAAAAGATCTCATTATTAAGCTTGTTTCAGGAATGAAAAGTATTATCATTTTCTGCGTCCTGGTACATTTGTCCCACAAACAATATTTGGAGGACTCATGTGAGTCTGGGTAAAAAAGAAAATGTAACAAAACATGGAATTGAAGCAAATAATTAATAACTGTATTAACATGACATGTTACAGAAGGATAAAGAAAGAAATGAAGTTGAAGTTATGAACAGTTCAATATAATCTTCAGTCTGTGTCTCTGAAGTACTTACATGTTCTATGTCTATTGGAGCAAAAGGAAATTTGTTGCTGCTCCAAATGTCAAAGGGAAAAGAAGAAGAGCTTTTCAAATGTTAAACCACCTGTGATTATCATCAGGGGGCAGTAATACAACAAACTATCTAGTGACCAGGCAAAGAGCAAGAAGAAATGGATTCTGACAGTTTGTAAAGGATTCATGCATCATGGATGTAAGTAGTATCTGTACACTAACCCTTCTGGTGTTGCTTTATTTACACTGTTATGTTTCTTTTATTAGTTTGTTTTTATGTAAGTGTTGTCATTTAAGAGTGTGTTTCCCATTTTTCAATGGAGACATTGGTACCCATTATGATTATGCTGCTTCCTTTATTGGAAGGGCCTATGATTTATTTTTTTATTCTTGGATAAGTTTTTAATGCCAGTAAATATCTCCATTGCATTGTGGTATAATGGATATTTTGATTTCTAATGAGAGATTGGGGAGCCGAGTTCAAATTCCAATCAGGCTCGTTATATTCAAATACCCCCAGCTATAGATTGAATTACATGCAAATACCCTCAGCTATAGGTTGAATAACAGATTGGGCAACCAGTCTACCACAGAAAGTAATGGCAACCTACTGTGGGAAAAATTTGCCTAGACAGTCATGTATTGAAAGAATGCATGATTGCCTAAGCATGTGGTATGTGTGACTGACTGACTGACTGAAATATCTCCTGGTTAATATAGTTTCATTAGTATTTATAAGGATTGCTGCTAAGATACCTTGTATGAAACATTTTTCAAATTCTGAGTGGTTGAATCTATGGGTTTTAGTTTCAATGTCATCTTTTCTTAATCCAGTGGCAAATTTTAAGCCAAGACTTAAAGCCTCCATTTTAGTGATAGAAAGTTTGATATTAGAGATGTTATAAACAAGATTTGGGTTATTGATCACTTTCCATTTATTGTGTTTTAAGCATGTGTTTTAGTCAGTTTATTTGTATGTTGCTTATGGATGATAAAGATTCTATCTCTGAGCCCTTAGGATATGGCAGCCCAGAATACTGAGGTGAAGAAAAGAAATACATTGAGAAAACATTTAGACTTTTTCACACATCATTTCATCCTCAAAAAAGCTTACAAAATCCACAAATCCAAAAACCTAGACACCACCAATGGCACTTCTAACAACAACAACAACACAAAATCCATAATCCTACCCTCGAAAAAACTCATTCTACAAAACTTGTAAATAAATTTGTTATCTCTCATACTAGAATCTTTAATTAATATCAATGCACAAACCAAGGGAGATAATTTTAAAGAAAGAAAAATACAGTTTTTTTGAATGTCACACCATAGCAGACATTAGATTTCATTACTGAGCAATTTTAGAAAAAAGACGAAATAATTTTTATCAATACTGATCTCTCTCTCTCCCTTTTTTCTCTCGCTCTTTTTCCTCTTTCTCTCTCTCTCTCTCTTTTTCTGAAATATGAAAGTTTAAAAAATGACAATTGTTTTACTGAATTTCTCCTTGAGTTGGTTGGTTATTTTTTATGATTTAGCAACCCTTTGCAGGTTATTTAAAGCCAGAAAATATATTTAGACCATAAGAATTTTTTTTTTTTTAGGTAATAATGACTTTGTGATACAAGTCTTAGTAATTAACCCATAGCAGGGGGGGGGGAGAAGTGGATTCATACCTTTCCCAAGAGTATTTGCATATAAGTGAATATAATGAATGCAACTGGAATTGGAACTCTGCTCTCTGATTAACAGTTCTGAGCCACTGTCCACTGCACCACCTGCACATTCATGTTTACATAATCTAGTAAACCGAAGCTGTCACCCATCTAGGTAATGACCAGGCTTGATGTTGCTTAACTTTGGTGATTGTACAGGAACTGATGTTTCAATATGATGCAGTCATAAGCCTCTTGAGTTGGTTTAAGTGCCATGGAAAGAGTGTATTATCCTCACATAGCTTCACCAATTTCAACAAGAAGTTATAGGAGGGTGTTGTCCTCTATCTCTCTCGTCTCTCTAGTATGCCAATACCAACTCCCCAGGCAGTGAGGGGGGGATATCTTTTCCCTAAATGACGGAATTTTCCCTCACACACATACATGCACCTGATCCACCAACAAAATTCTTAACCTTCAATATTTTCTTTTGAATGCAAACCAGTGTATTTTCTTCCTTTTTTATTCAGTTATATAAAAACAAAAAATATAAAATACTGCATTGTTGAAATTACTCAGGTAAAAATTTTACTCATTTATATGAAACCATATAAAAATTTGATATTGTATTTTATAATATATTTTTTATATCGTATTTCTAAAAATGTCTCTATTAAAATATTTTGCTCAGGTAAAAATTTTACTCAGTTATATAAAAAGAAGAATTATAAAATACCAACTTGTTGAAATTGTCTTCCCTTTCTTTACACCCATCATTCACATGTGCAAAATATTGTTTCCACTACTTTTAGTTAAACTAGAAGTAATGCCTGCAACATTTGGCAACCATGATGTGACCTTAACATACACTTACAGCATCAAAAGTACTGAATACTTGACATACATTTAATGAAAGAATAGATGTTTTAGAAGAAAGAAAATATTATTCAGTACAATCTTTGATCCCTGGAGTTGCAAAAATGTCAAGTGTATCAATATTGTTGAAGTAATATTTTATTGTAAAAATGTTTAAAAAAAAAAAGAACATTCCTTCGCAAAGATAAAAAAAAACGAAATAAGCAAGAGTTACCTCCCTTCCACTCTTAAACCGACATTCGATCAAAAGAAATCCTTGTTTCCGATTTTTAAACTCAGTAATCTTTCCATCCTGCCTAATCCAACCTCGAAAAAGATGGAGTGAATTAATCAAAGATAAATAGGACAGAATTTTGTTTTTGAAAATTTGTTTCTTTTCAGACCAGATTTCTATAAACTTCTCTAACTTTAGATTATGGAGATATATTTTTTAAATGCTTATAACATTTGAAGTTGGAATTCATTGACTTCGTAAAAAAATGTATACATCTTTTTAAGGAAGTCTCAGTGTGTGTGTGTGTATATATATATACATATATATGAATATTTGTGACTATAAATATGACCATGTGTACATATATGCACATTCATTCAAAATCTGATTAGATGTAAATTTGGATAACATCCATTTTTTTAAAAAAAAAACAAAAAAAAAGTTCAAAATGTCTGCCTTTCACTCTTGTAATACCAAATGATTCTCTCCAGATCTATACGGATATATTTTCACAGTTTTATTTATATGTAAATCATTTTTAAATGTAAAGCTATTTGTTGACCTTTGACTCAGCCAAATCTGGCCCAAAGTCACAAATATGAGAGCATTCAATAGAGAATGAACTCATTTACCATGGCTTGCAGGATAAGTATATTAAATAGCAGTTAATGATTTTGATTTTTTAAAGTATTCAAAGAAAGTAATAAAAATATATAATGTTCATCTTTGTGCATATAACTGAGAAAATAAATATATTTATCTCTAAATTTTGATTGGATTAATATTTTCTTAATTTAGTGTCTGGCTGTGTGTAATTAGATAAGAAAACATCTCGCCATAGGCTCTATACACTGTGATAATTCTTATTGCTTAATATGGGATAATAAATCAGGCAAATTGCTGAAAAGTAGTGAAAAATTATATGAATTTAGGTTAAATCCATAGGACTATGTCTTTTTCTTAAAACTTAATGAAAATAATGTTTATTGATGCATTGTAGCCTGTGGAGTCATAGGTCAAAAATAAAACATGTATAATCATATCCCTGACTTATAAAGTGCATGACAAAAATTAAAGAAATTTGGAACACCAACAGTGCAATAATCAAGACATTGATACTTACATTCAAAAATAAATTACATTTAACTTTATATAACTAATAGTTTAAGAATATGATTTCTTATTCTATATGACTACTTTATGAAACTTAATAGAATGAATAATTTTATTTTTTATACTACATTAAAATAGGTACCTCAAAAAAAAAGTGATAGCTCAGGATTAAAATAAATTTTTAAAAATGAAAAATCTTTCTTCAAACTTTTATTTTTATTTTATTAGATTGTTTAATATTTTCAATACTGTATTTGAAACCGAATTTAAATTCATTTGAAGGATTTTTTTCAAAATCATTAAAATTGCTAAAAATCAGCTACACAGTCATCCCTTGTTTATTGTGGTTAATTAGTTCCAGTTGCAATAAATGAATTTCAGTGAAGTAGGATTATTTATAAATTGAATATTTTCATAGTTAGAGCATAGAAAACCTGTTTACGATCTTCTAAATATGGTTTTTGACATTATAAGAGTTCTCTAGACATGAAAATATAGCCCAGTAGTCACCTTTACACTTATATTAACAAAATAAGAGAAAATATGACATATTAGATGTTAGAAATGTCATATTATTATTATTATTGTTCAATGATGAAGCAATGAAGAGATGTAGTGCACAAAAAAGGTTACTTCTCCATTAAATCATTTGCATAAACATCTCTTTATACCTTGGAATGACTAATAAGCATAATTTGATGTTTTCTTTTCAGCACATCTTTGACATCATTTATCCTATTTGCATAACTATCTTTGTATGTAGTTTTTGTTTTGTTGCCAAAAATAAAATTTGGCTTTATTTTAATCAAATACTATTGCCTTGTTGTTTTGTACTTGGTTCACTCTCAACTTACTATCTTCTGAATAATTTTGTTTGTGGACTCCTTTGTACTAACACACAGCCAAACACATCCCCTACAAGTGATCCACAGCACACCCGCAACAATAGCCAAGTAGTGAACAGTATGTTCTGATGTACCGTGATAAGTGAATTTCCACGAAGTAGGATTCTTTATTTATAAATCGAATATTTTCATAGTTAGAGCATAGAAAACCTGTTTACGATCTTCTAAATATGGTTTTTGACATTATAAGAACTCTCTAGACATGAAATAACACCCCTGTAGTCACTTTTATACTTATATATATATATATATATCACCCAATATATTAGACAAAATAAGAGAAAATTATATATATTAGATGTTACAAATATATTATTATTACTGTACGTTAAAATCACACACAAAGTTTTTACACGTACATCACTTCATCATTGAACAAGTTGCATTATTTTCTTAGGTTAATGCAAACCTAGGAAAATAATGTAACTTGTTTGATGATGAAGAGATGTATTGCACAACAAAGGTTACTGCTTCTCTAAAGCATGGCTTCAGTAGAAGAGTCTTCAGGTGGTGTGTGTCATATTCTGCTGAAGGCATACTAGACCTAGGCGGTGGATGTCTGAGTGCGTGGCTGAAAAACATTGTGATAGGCAGTTGTTGGTGCTGTCTTTTCATCTGCATGAGGAGGCTTTTGTAGGGCTCCATTGCTTGATGCAGTGCATTCCAGAACTGCAATGCATGCATCATTCGTGGGTCCGATTTGCCAATCATGTTCTGCACTTCCTTAATAGTTCTCCCGATTTGCATGAGACGCTTAAGTGTAAGGCCAACTTCCTCCTCCAGACCCCCAGGAACTTCTGGCTGCTCTTCCTCCTCCTCACTGGCAGACATAGTCATCACCCGCAATTCCTCGTCAGTTAAGGGATGAAAATGCATCTTCTGCAGCACATCTGTGTCATCGTTCAAACCAAATCCTCTCCTTCCAGCATCCATGCTAGCTCAACTGCCTTATCCACTAAATCATTCACTTATATCCTCTGGGGGGAATCCTTTCTAATTGTGGACAATTTCAGGCCACAACTTCTTCCAGCTGAAAAGATCTGAAAAAACCGCGATAGAGTGAAGCTGCAAAAGTTGAAGCATGAAGTGGCAAAGGACAACTGCATTAGCAAATCTGTCAATATGACGTGATTCTCTTAATTAAAAAATCTTACAAAAATAAAATATACTTTACTGAAAAATTATTTGAAGAAGATTAGTTGATTATTTAATTGTTATGAAGTTTTGACAATTATCTTGATAGACTTATATTTGGAACTTTTTTCTATGGGGGACATATCTGTAAAAATTACTTGATAATCTGACCACCATTTTTATATAATTTTTTTTTAACTATCCAGTAGTTTTAAAAATTTAGCAAAATATTCTAAGTAATATAATGTTTTATTGAATTTTATGTACATTGGCTTTCAATTTACTCTAGTTACTATTCTTATTTTTTATCAAGTTTCATTTTACTCATCTAAAATATTTCATTAACCAAGCATTTCATAAAAAAAAAATGATTAATAAAAAAGAAAATCTATAATGATCAATTTACAATGTATATATATTTAGGTAACTCAAAGAAAAATGATACTTAAAATTTAAAATGAATTTTTTAAAATTCCAGGCTTTTCTTTATGACACCCCTTGGAGTGACATTTTCAACCTCCCAGTTGAAAATTGCACCACTGAGGTTTCTTCTCAAAGCTGGCATGGACACCTTCATCTCTTCTCAGAAATACCAGGTAAAACTTTGATCATGCTCAGCTGCCATAGCACACAGGTACCAGTATTTCCGGCTATGCCAGTGTGACAGCTCTTGTCATAGCAGGTGCCTATTTGTTACTGCTTGTAACAAATGTAAGTGAGTCCTCGATAAAGTCCCTGTTTGCTGAAAGAATGAAGCTCTGCATAGGCTCTCAATACTTTGGCTCTCATAACTACTGGCACCACTGTAATAGGGTATTAAATATGTGCAAGGTTTTTATTCCCTCCTCTTCAATTGATTTGAGGTGTTATCATCCTCTATTGATAAAGCTGAATGTTTTGCCTGTAAATTCTTTTCAAACTCTACTCTTGACTCATCTGGAGTATCCTTGCTTAACTTCCTACTTAGAACAGATTCTCTGATGAGTGAAATGCATATAACCCTTTCCATGGTTTCTGCTGTCATCTCCGATCTTGATCCCGACAAAGCATTTCAACCTCATCCCTGTAATAGTCATTAAGAAGTGCACTCCTGAAGTAGCTCCTATTCTCTGCTGAACTGTATAATAAATGCCTCCTGCTTTCCTGCCTGCTGGAAGTCATCATCTGTTGTTCCAATTTTTAAGAACACTGGTGAATAATCTGATCCACCCAACTATCAGCCTATTAGCCTTCTACCTCTTTTTGGGAAACTCCTAGAAGACCTAATCAATACTGAATTGGTTCATCATCTCTCATCATAGGGACCTTTATCAGACAACAATATGGCTTTCTTTTCTCCAGACCAACTGCTGAGATACTAACGATAATCATGGAAAGAGTCTGTCATGCTCTAGATAAAATTGGTGAAGCCTGGTCTGTAGCATTGGACATCTCGAAAGCCTTTGACAGGGTCTGGCATTCAGGTTTTCTTCACAAGCTGAAAAGTTACAGTATATCCAGGCACGTTTTTGAGATGATCCATTCGTTCCTATCAAATCATGAAATGAAAGTTGTCCTGAATGGCCACTCATCTACATCCTAGTGTTGAATATGAAATAGAAATAACTTTCTTTCCTCCACTGTTTTCAAATTTGTGAGCCCATGCAAAAATTTATTTTGACCAATGAAAAGGGATTGGCTCCAGCTGAAGAAAAGAGCAAGGCAAAGTTTAGTGAGCCTATGTGAAAATTTAATTTGACCAATAGAAAAGGGAGTCACTTACAAACTGAGGAAAAAAAAGTAACGAGCCAATGTGAAATTGCTTTTTGATATAAATAGGCAGAGAAAGTTGAATCAAGGGAGAGGGAGAAAAAGAAGAAAGAAGCAAACTTCTGCATGTCTGAATAATGCCGGTATCAAATTACATGATACATTATCAGCCTCTAATAAGAGCAGGGCAATTTTAAAGAATTCTATTCAACTCCAAAGCTAAGTACCTTAAAATATATCTTTTTATTCATGTTGAATACTACCATATAACTTTCATGTGAAAAATAAACTCTCTCAATTTGTTTGAAATATTTTGGAATATTATTTTGTGTCCGATGATTTAATCTGAACATTTTCTCTTCTTGACAATTCATCAAAACTACGAACATTAAATATTTGATTCCTTTTCCTGAAACAAGCTAGTGGCAACTTAAAATGTATAAATAAATTCCTTATCTTGTTCTGTTAAATATAACATGTATATTTCCTCGTCATTATCCCTCAATACTTCAACCTTTTGTACTAACGCGGATGTCTCCCCAAGGCTCCATCCTTGGTCCTACGCTGTTTTTAATCTTCATTATTGACCTTCCTGATGACATCAGCTTTCAACTTGGCATCTATGCTGAAGACAAAACCCATTTACTCCTGCTTTGATAGTAAGGCTGATCAGTCAGATGAGGTCAAAATGGCAGCTGATGTACAAAATGATTTCAAGACCGTCATTAACTGGAGAAAAAGATGGCTTGTCAATTTTAACACCTCTAAAACTCAACTTATCTCCATTAATCATCTGAGAGCCTCCTTGCTGCCAGGAAAATGACTTGTTATGTCTTCTTGGGTTTATGTTCTCTGCTGATATGAAGTGGAAAGATTATATTGAATCTATTGCTAGGTCAGCCACTAAGGAAGTTTGATTACTATGTAGGGCAAGACAATTCTTCTCCCCAGAATCTATCTTACATATCTATAAGTCTACCATTCATCCATGCTTAGAATATTGCTGCCATATATGGTCTGGTGCCCCAGCTATTTACCTGGAGCTCTTTGATAAAATCCAAAGAAGAATCAACAATATTATTAGTCTTCATCTGGCAGCTAAGCTTCAGTTACTTACCCACCACCATAAGGTTGCTTCTCTATGCTTTTTTTTATAAATACTTTTATAGTAATTGTTTGGATGACCGATTTACTATGGTACCTAGACTATATGAATTTAAGTGCAATACTAGACTGGCAGCGAGATCTCATCAATTTACAGTTGAGTTAGCAAGATGTAGCCATAACTTCTATGCTAATAGTTTCTTTTCTCACACTTCTCATTTGTGGAACTCCCTTCCAGTTCCATGCTTTCTAGCCAGCTTTAATCTGCAAAAATTCAATTACTATCTACTGTCCTCCTGATTGTTCTTTTATCTTTCTATTCATTACTAATCTTTCTGTTTCTAATTCCTCCACACCCTGTAACCCCTTGTGTCTTAGTGGCTGTACTGATTTGCTTGGGGTGATACCAATTTAAAAAAAAAAACTTAGTGAAAGCAGATAAACTAAAATTCATATGGTATATTTATCCTATAAATAGATAAATATATCTATATATATATCCTGAAAATTTAACCAGCATTGGTTAATACCAATTTTATTGTAAAAATGTTGATCTCCCTCATACAATCCAACATAGTATATATTTATATATGAATGTATGAGTGTGTGTGTGTATATATATATATATATATATATATATATATATATATATATATATATATATATATAGGACATGTGTGTAGCATAGGAAAACAAAATAAGACTGTTTATAATATTAAATGACAGTAACTACATCACAAGGTGAAATGTTTCAGAATATTGAAATATAATTTTCTCAGTGAATGTGTATTTCTTGTCCAGAGCTAAGAATAAAAACTAATAGAATCTTTGAGATTTCTTTAAATGTCCATATTTTTGGATATATTGAACAGATACAAATTGGTGGGCAAAATAAATATTCGAGAGAATAAAATATAGTGTCAGAACATTATTTGAAATTTATTTTAACAAACATTAAATTACAAATAATGAAAAAAAATTATGTGGTTAAATATTCTAGTTATTTTCTGAGTATAGTGATATCTGCATCTATACGTGTCCACATTAGCAGATAATAAAGATAGATAAGTCTCTTTGTATGATATGTAGGTGATAGCGAGGCTCAATTAGCAGATGATTCCTTCATATAATATACAGTCAATAGTGTGTCCTCATTATCAGATAAGTCTCTTCGTATAATGTTTCAGTTGAAGGAGATACTTTGTTATCTTAGTTCATCAATGAATATTTGAATAGTTAATATGTTTGTATGTATGAGTTCATAGGAGGAATAATATAAAATAAACAATCTTTTTTTTTATCAGGATATCATTTCTAAATAGATAATCTATAAGAAATTAGAATCTTTGTACTCTTATTTTTCCATATAAATCTTGTGGCATAATCAGATAATTTCTTGGGATATTTTACAGCACATTTTTTCTACTTTAATTTCCACACATTAAGCCTTTGTTGCCTACTAAGATAATCTTAGTAGATATCAAAACAAGCAAGTCTTCCTTTCTTGGTGATCAGTTCAAGTATTTCTTTTCTTCTTTTTGCATATTAAGCCTCGTGGTATACCCAACTAATCTCAGTTAGCATTAAGACAAAAGGAGCCTCTCTTTTTGTACAAAAATTGAAACTCAAACTTTCTACTCTTTTTCTGGTAGAAAGGAGTTGTATCTATTTGTTATGATGTTGATTTGGGTTTAGTAGAGACAAATGCCAAATAACATGTAACAATAAAAAGGGTTTTAATAGGTTGGTAAAAAGGTACAGAAATCGCCTGAGTAGTCAATAACTAGCTCAGCTAAGAACTTCTCTGTCTTTTGACATGCCACTATTTAAAGTCTTTGTTCGCAGACAAGTTCATCTTCAAGAGGGGTGGTAGGTTTCTGATAACACTATTTAAAATACAAATTTTAATGTAACCTAAATAAGTACAATAATGAATCACATGCAATATAGGTGAACAATTCAAGCAGAACAATTGAAAATAAATACAATATATTTAAATACAGTGATTTACCAAGCATAGCTTAGATGTTGCACAAGGCCGAAAGTAGGGGGCACCCAGTGAGGATCAAACTCACTACTCAGTCGTAATAGTTCTAGCGAGACAAGCTTGCTAACCATTACACCACCTCGAGGTGCCCCAATATATTTAAATATAAATTAGAGACATGTCATGATAGATCATTCCATCTTAAATCAATGATGTTTTGCAGCAATTTTTAACTTCAACTTGAGATTTTTCTTATTAAAAAGTTGAAGAATTTAACATATTCAACATTATGGATAACAAATAGTGAATTTTCTATAGTTTTTTTTTTTTTTTGGAGACTTAACATGAGCAAAACAGAGTCATGGATTTGAATGAAAAATATAGATCCCAAAATCAGGTCAAAATCCATGAAATTTTTTCATCATTTAATAATAATCAGTTGTGCTTAGTTTAAATTATAACACATATCAATGTAGACAGAAAAAAGCAAATGTTGATAAGATGGTGAGGATCCCAAAGCACTGCCCGGGGCCCACAATCAGGTTTGATCCCCGCTCGTTGGAAGGTTTAGGGATAGTATGTAGTATCATATTAAAATGTGCCCAAACTTTATTTTCTAACCAACAACAGACAATATTGCAAACATGCCAAAAAGATTCCACCACAGAACACACACTGTTTGAATCAAAGGTGTTTATTAGTTAAAAGTTAACATCACCATGTAAAATATTTGGTGAATCAGAAAAAAATAAACTCTATTTTCGCAAAAAAATTTTTTTAAAATTTAAAAATCCACAGATATTGACTTTCAGTGCAGATATGCAGCTGTTCAAACACAGGGTTAAGATGTGGCTATATAGCTTTTTCCTTGCCCCCAGCACGTACTGGAAGAATCATATTTCAGCGAATCATCTCCAACAACAGTAGAGATGGTCAATGAATCTTTGATGATGAACATGTGTCAGCAACTTCAAATGAATCAGCTACATCAACAACAGCTTGGAAAGTGAATCTTTGCTGATAAAATCTTTTCTCAACAACAGATTTTTATGGTAGACCAACTACTAAAAGTATTTTCTAAACAGTAACTTTTTCTGCAAACCCAAAGACTTTCACTCAACTAAAGACTATTTTTAGTATTTATTGACTATTTCAAATTGATGTACATATGTTTGTAGATACAAATGATTTATTTAACAGGCATATTCATCTTTTCTTTATTTTTATTTTATTATTGTTTGTAATTCTGGACAACTGATTTCTTACACTATTTTCAGCTACAAATTATTATCAAATTTCATTTAAGTGAGTATTTGCATAATTAACTGGCCTGTTTATCTCAGTAACAGTTAGATTAATATCATTTCCATTATTCCTTCTGAAACAGAACACAAGTAGTAAAAAATGCGAGTTGCCATCATCGGAGCCGGCGTGTCTGGTATTGCAGCTTTAAAATGTTGTATGGAAGAAAATTTGACTGCCGTTTGCTTTGAACAGAACGATACATTCGGCGGATTATGGGAACATAATGCCAACCCGGTACCAAATGAAACGACTGTCACCAAACAAGTGGTTTGTAATACAAGTAAAGAAATGATGGCTTTCAGTGATTTTCCTCCGCCACAAGAATTTCCTTTGTATTTACCACAGTATAAATACAAAGAATATTTACAGCTCTACGTGAAAAACTTTGACTTAGAAAAACATATGAAATTCAACAAAAAAGTATGTAATATTCACTATCAAAATAATAATTCCTTTTTTTTTTATTTGTATATCTTTGAAATGTTGAATTGCTCAAAAAATGTTTTTTTTATTGAAATTATAAAAGGCGAATGCACTTCTTTACTTATATATAAATATCAACTGCCCTTCTTAAAATTTAGCATACGTTTTTTTCATGTGTATTAAAAAAAAATAATCAATTTTATTATTGGCTCTTGAATATATTCATTTTGATTTATTTTGTCATATTTGAAAAAATAAAAAAACTGCAGAAGTAATTTTCATCTTGTTTATTGTTTCTTCTCAGAAAAATATTTGAATAATGGTGATATCATAAAAAATATTGTAATTTATCAATGCTGGAAATATTTCCTTAACTTTGTTTCTTCTTTTATGTGCAAAATCCTTTCATGATGTGGGCAATCATGGCACTTTAAAATTTCCAGTTTTTTTATATCTTCCCATCGAAATGCATTTATAACAATCCATTTTTCTTGCTTATTACCATTTTAATTTTTCTTGAATTTATTTTTAGGACAGGGTTAAGCCATTTTTTGTCTGTTATTGTTAATAATTCCAATTTTTCTCAGTTCTAAAAAATCTCTCTTTAATTTCTCTTGGAGGACACATTATTTGTGAAATTTCTTAGACACTCAGACCAGTAAATGTTGTCAATATTATTTATTATAAACATACCATATATATATATATATATAAATAATGTGTGTGTGTGTATATATGTATATATAATGATATAACGATATATAATTTTGTATAATTTCATATATCAACAAACAATATTTAGAAAAATAGTATGACAAATTGGAAAAAAAAACCTTTTGTCATGTGTTTCATCCATTAGAATTTCATCAGACTGGGCTTTGTTGATGTTGTCTCATCTATATGTGTGCATGAAATGAGAGTTGCTGGTAGTTTGAAAATTTTGAAGGAGGAATTTACTCTATCAAGTGTAGGAATTGCCAGAATAAATACAATGGAGAAACGTTAAGAAGCTTAAACTATATGAACATGAAAGGGACATTTTAAAAAACATCACATAAAATGCATTGGTTGTTCACCTTAACAAAACTGATCACAATTTTGACATAGGGAATGGTACTTTGATTAAAAGAGAAAATAATCCACTAAGATGGAAATGTCTGGAAAGTCCCTTGATTGCTAGTTCAGCCAAAGTAAATTTGCATCCAGGCTCTTACAATATATCACCATTCTTGGTAGATTTTCTGTTGTCACAATGTGGGATAGTCAGGGACAACGGTGATGGAGAGAAAAAAAATATGGCTGAATATGGCTTGATTGAAAAAAATATTCTCCTCTCCCAAAAAAACATTCTTTCAAAAATGTTGAAACCAGCAGTGTCTGTTGTTTCATGTGCATGTGTCGACGTGACATCAACAAATCCCAGTTTGATGAAATCCTAACAAAACAAGTCACAAAAACTTTTTCCAGTTCGTCATACTATTTTTCTCTCCCTCTCTATCCTATCTGTCTATCTATATCTATCTATCTATCTCTATCTATATCTATCTATCTCTATCTATCTATATCTATCTATATCTATATATGGTATGACTAAGTGGAAAAAGTTTACTTCTAACATGTTTCATCCTTCAAGACTTCATCAGACTAAATTTATTATGTTGGTATGACCACACATGCACTCGAACGAGGGGTGATGGAGATTTTAAGTTTTTTTTTTACATCTAGAAAAATTCATTTAGAGTTTTTTCTTTCTATCACTTTTGTTAGTAGGTATTCAGCTACATATAAAAACAAATCCCCATCACCCCTCCTTCATGCACATGTGTAGTCGTACTAACATAATAAATTTAGTCTGATGAAGTCTTGAAAAGCAAAACATGTCACAAGTAAACTTTTTCCACTTTGTCATGCAATTTCGCCAATACGTTTCTTGATATATGAAAATATATATCGTTATCTTATATATATATATATATATATATAGGCCAGATGTAAATAAACCTGTCATTCTTGACAGGTATTATATACATTTATATATTTAAGAAGAAGCAAGTGAAAATCCTAATAATATTAAAGGACTTAATAAAATATGCTGTCATTTGTGACAGTATGGGTAAGCTTCTGTGTTATGCATGTATGTATGAAGGATGAAAATTTATCCTCTCTACAAAGAAGCCTTTAAAAATAAAATTCTGATGTTTACTCAAATTTTGAAAACTGGATTGTGGTGAAAACTTTTTAGCACTTCTTCATATATAACATGCATTATTAGGAAATAAATTTTTGATAAATCCATTTCAAATAAAAATTATCTTTTACTATTCTGGATTAACTCATTTCAGTCTGTTTTTTCATTGCAGTTTATTTCTCCCCCAAAATTATTTTCCCAAAGTCCAAGTCTAAAATGATTTGACCTGCATCAAGTTTACCTCTACTAAAAACTATATAGGGAAAAATAGGGCAGATTATATGAAGCAATATGACATTATTCCAGACCAGAAGTTTTAAAATTTTTTATTTCAATTTTTATTTTTTCAATAAGTCAAAACAGTAGAAATAAAAAGGAACTGGTCTACGTTTTAGGTGGAGCGTATTTTTAATACATCCTCTTTATATGCTTATATGTACACAGTTTCCTGTTTGGTTTGAAAACGAGAGAATGAATATGTTTCTTGTTAAATAAAAGACGCTAGAAACGTTTGCACATATCTAATATTGATTATTCAGTTTTCTTTCTGTTATGTAAACAATAAAAATCAAATAATCTGTTTTGGAAGTTGTAAGAATGTAAGGGAGACAACTCCTAAATTCTTTATCACTATTTTTTTTCTATTTAGTTTTAATTTGTTTCACTCTGATTATTTTTCTCCATTTTCCATCTTTTATTATCCTGATATTTTCACATATCTTTAATAGTTTTCCATCAATAAAAATTATTTGTATACTAAAGTGTTTTGTAACTTTTTATAGTTTTTATTTTTATTTTTTAAAAAAAGAGACTAAACTACTCTGTATTAATCTTCAATTCTGTTCTCTCATTGACTGGAACCAATTTCAAATCATTTAAGGTGACATCATTTACTGCCAAACTGAATTTTTACGTGAATTTCTTTTTTTTTTTTTTTTTTTTTTAGCCCAAAACACCTACATAAACAGACAAAAACAAAATCCTTGAATGGAGCAACATTCAAATATTCGTACAGAAGAAATTAAAAAAAATAAAAATGCACTTTGGAAAGTTTACCGATTATATAAAATAACTAATTCAGAAATTTGTAAACTTAATAAAAAATTGATTAGATAGAACTTGTCAATATTATTTAACAAAACTTGTTTGAAAAAATTTTGCTGCTTAAATACAGCTTGTCTAATTATAACTATAAATTACGATTTTGGAAAGTGAAAATTCCACTAAAATATTTTGGAAAATTTCCACATTTCATCTGAAATCAGGAAAAATGGTCAGAATATCTGAATTTATGCTGACTGATAATGTGAATTTATAATGAATCAAAATGTAAACACATGACATTAAGTCTTTTGTGTTAATTCTGCTCCATTTACCAGTATAATTTTAATAGAAGAGATGATTATCTGTGCAAATACCTAAAAAAGAATTCTGGAGAAGAAAATGTAAAGAATCACTTCTCAAACCAAAGGGAAAGTAAATTCATGGATTCAAAGATTTTATTTATTTGATAAAAAAAGGAGGAAACTTTAATCTGGAAGATTCTTAAGATTTCAAATGTATTTCAAACTGTCTTTTTAATTTTGCTAATTTTACATTTGAATTTTAACCATGGGTTATATTGGAGTGAGAAATGGCCTAATGGAGAGGACATGATAAAAATGACAGATTCAAATGTTGGTGACTGATTCTTGGTTTACTTTCTGTTTATACTTTCTGAAAAGGCATGAACCCAAATGTTGCTACATCTTCTCATTTTAATATATAAATTTATGTTCAAAATGTCAAAGTAAAAGAGACTAAAAAATGCAGTCTCATATAATATTTTTTCTTGTTAGAATTTAAATCTACACATGAGTTTCAAATGGACAGTGGGTGGGAATAAAAGGGGTGGGTAGAAGAGTTAGTTAATTTTGCATTGCAGTAATAAGGAAACACTTTGAGCTAGAATGCTCATAAGAGGAAATTTCTTGAATGCTTAATAAAATGAGTGGTTGGAATAAGCATATCCTGGGTGGATTTTTCTCAAAAGAAAAAGAATAATCATCTCAGACCATCTATTTAAAACTGAAAGGATATATGCAGACATCAGCCTACTTCAATTTTTTTTTTAAATTGTGAGAATATATAGTGATGGAAATAAGTATAAGACACCCAATGAAATTGTTAATAATTTTCTTATTACTGCACAAATTCTTCTGAAAATTTGTGTGTGGTACCAAGATCTGATGGGTATTAGTATACATATTCGATTTTATAACAACTTTCCACCAAAAAAGATAAGACAATTATTAAGAAAAATACGTTTTTGAGGGTTGAAATAAGCATAAGAGAGCTTTGAAAATTTGTATTTAACAGCAATTTTTTTTGGTGGAAAGTTGTTATAAAATTGAATATGTATACTAATACCCATCGGATTTAGGCACCACACATAAATTTTCAGATGAATTTGTGCAGTAATAAGAAAATTATTAACAATTTCATGGGGTGTCTTATACTTATTTCTACCACTGTATTTTTGAAATACACCTCCACCTCTACCCTAACTGTCAAAAAACTAATTTCACAGTTAAAAAGAACAGTCACTTGCTTTTGATAATAAACAAAAAAAATCTGTAAGAAAATCATTATTTCCAATTATCACCCAGAAAGAAGTTATACTCTTGTAATGGATGTCTTGGGTTGACTTTTCTAAAAAAAAAAAAGTAAAAAAAAAACAAAACGAAAGTATCATCACTCCGGCTTGTTTATTTGAAATGCAATGATGAATTCAGATATCAGTTGACTGAAAAGAAAAATCAAATTTCTTTTCAAAATTGTTGGAATATATTTCTTGAAATCCACTCCTGCCCACAAAGGCTAAAAACAAATTTTTACAATTGAAAGAGAGAAGACCAAAATCAAAAGAAAAAAACTTTGAAAAGTTTATTCTTTCCAATTATCTCCCCTAAATGATACTCTTGAGATGTTGGTGACATGCAGTGGCAAAGAAATTGACTTAGAATAGGAAACCAGATAATCTTAGAATTGCTGGTAAACACATGCTGTCTCCTGGCATTTGTTTGGTTTTTAACCACAAAAGAAGATAACATATTTGATAATCAAGTTAGCCATTATCATTACTTTTTTTTAAAAATTTTTTTAATTAGGTTCAAAAGTGTGAATATAAAGAAAATAAATGGAACTTGAAAGTGGAAGATTTGAAGACAAATGCCATCCATGAAGAAATCTTTGATGCTTTAATGGTTTGCAATGGAATTTTGAGTAAACCAAGAATGCCAACATATTCAGGAATTGCAACATTTTCTGGACAAATTCTTCATTCACAGCTATATCGAAAAGCTTCAGATTTTTCTGACAAAAGAGTTTTGGTAATTGGCATGGGAAATACAGGAAGTGAAATTGCAGTAGAACTGACAACACAAGCTAAACAGGTAAGTAAAGATTATTGATTATACAAATCAATATATATTATTAATCTTAACTTTTATCTGAACTTGCAATATGAAATGTTTTGACAATTATTCAGACTACAATCTGTATGCCGTTTATGTGATGTGACAAATTCTTTGTCTTCTTCATATATGCCATCATATTTTTCAGTCTTTGAATGTCATTTTATTTTCAATGAGAGAATCATAGCTTTAAACACTTTACTGAACCAAGTGGTTAAAAAATCTTGAGTAGCATTTTAAGATTATCAAATAATGTAGCAAAATTCTAAGTAGTATTGTGGCAAGTGTACTTGCCAGTTAAATAGGGCTTTAGAGTTTGATGTCTCAATTGGAGAGACACTGTAAATTTTAAACATTATGCAGGTTATGACTTCACCTGCCAAATTTATCCCAGATAACACATTCAGGGAATTGGTGTTATGTAATGGTAGATTTATTATTTTCTTAATGATTATCTTCAGTAAATTTTTGAAATGGTTTCTATTTGTTTCTGAATGACTATTTTTTTTTAATTAGGTTTATGCAAGCACAAGAAATGGGAGATGGATTGGCAAAAGACTAATTCCTGTTGGTTTACCAACAGATGTCCAATTCTTCAAAAGAATAAGCGGATTCTTTTTGAAGTTTATACCCAGAAAGTTTCAGCAGCTTTGGTTTGAAAATCTTTTGGCTTTAAATCATAAATTCTTTGGACTGAATCAAAAGTCCGACATATCAGCAAAAACACTAACTATAAATGATGAAATTATTGACAAAATTTCTTGTGGGAAATTAATTTTGAAACCAGATGTGGAAAGATTTACTGCTCATGATGTTTACTTTGTAGATGGAACAGTTGCAACTGATATTGACATTGTAATATTTGCAACTGGATATGAAATAGACTTCCCATTCTTGGGAAAATCTGTACTGAAGATAAAAGATAATAAGCTGTTTGCTTACAAGCACATTTTTCCTCCTGAATTGATTGACCAAAATGTTGCTATAATTGGTTGTATGTTTGCCTTTGGAGCAGCAGCTCCACTGCATGAGAGTCAGTGTCGTCTGGCTACTCAATTGTTCAAGGTAATGATTTTTGTTTCTATTGTTGCGTCATTATAGCTTAGTATTGTTATCCATTTTTTCTGATAAGTCAACTACAATAAAAGCTCAAATATTATCCAACACTTGGAAATGATCAAATGAGGTTAAGGGGAGATAATTAAATGTTTTAACTAATTTTACATGAAACTATATTTATATAACATAATTATTGCAGTTTTATATATATATATATATATAAATGTACTGTCAGTTATAGAGCTAAGAATACTGTATAGCTTTAATAACCAAACTGGTTGGAAGGAACACATGATAGTTATAAAAATACGCACTTAAAAACTAACTTTTACTTTGGCTAAAGGCAACTCTATCAACAGAAGCCAGAGGCAAATGTCTCAGCAAGCCAAAAATTATTTACTTATATTTGATATACTCCAGCTTGCATCTATAGCATAAAAACTTGTTTACTATGCTTTTAAAATACTCCTTCTCAGATGTCACCTGTTTCCCTACTACCCTCAGATTCATTAGTGATTCTGTTGAGATGGAAAAATTGGCTTTTCTTTGAATATAAAGCCAAAGGTCAAACATTCAGACATTCATGCCACAATTAATATTTGGTCATTCTTAGATTTCTATTTTTCCATCTACCAACCAACTAAGCAAAGAAGAAGGCAAAAGAGAATTGAAATATTCTTAGAAAACCATATTGTCTTCTGAATTGTCATTTACTTTAAATAATCAACTGAGAATAAAAAAAAATTATATCTGATTTCTTTTTCATCAAGCATAGGAAATCAGTCCAGAAAGTATCCAGCCATTTAAGACAATGATACCTTAATCTCCTTCTCTCTGATTGTTTGCCAATTTTCATCAAGATCAAACAAAACATTCTTGAGATATTCAAAATGGTTGGATTATTGATGCAAAATTTTGAAGGGAATAAACAAAAATAGATTAAAAGGAAAAATTCTTTTGTAATAAAAGGCAAACCTATCAAAATTATGTTACAATTTCTCATAATTTTTCCTTTTCTTTAATAAGTTAAATTGTTGCAATGTATTAAGATTAATAATGGCTTAAATATTTCCTATTTGTGTGAATATTTGAAGATATTTGGTGATTTTTGTGTGAGATATTTTATAAGAAATCTATGATTTTGTATTCTGAGAAAATAGAATAATGATTTTATCAAATATCATCGTCTGAGTTTCCTAAAGTTTCTGGGGTTTTCTTTCAGGGCCTAGTAAAGTTACCCCCAAAAGAAGAAATCCTTGAAGAGATCAATGCAACACTTGACACCCAACGGAGTGTTGATGTCATAGGCTATCAGGATGCATTGTGTGAGTTCATTGGTTGTAAACCAAATATATGTAAGTTGGCCTTTAATTGTATATCTATTGATTGACTCTGAAGAGATTGCTAAGGGTCTTGACTGCATTAGGATCATGTCTATTTTTGGAATTATATATAATTGAGAAGAATGTGCTTGTCCAAGCCATTACATATATTTCCTCAAATTTAAGTTGACCATTAATTAAATTTTTTTCAACCTGACACTATTTCTTCTCATTATAAATATCATCTTAGTAGATACATATGTTTATTTACAAACAGGAAAATTAATTATTTACCAAATTTACCTTTGGACTCTTATCCTCATCTTTGTTGTTATCACAACGTTTCGGCTCTTGTGCCCTCCAGCTTTCATCAGGTGTATATTGATCCAGGTAACCTTCAGGAAATTCCTAACTGAACCCTTTATTTAATTTATAGGGATAGATTGTTATTGTTATACTGTCCATGTCAGGGGATATCTCATATACTGCTTGATTATTGCTCTCCCTATTTCCACTGAGTTCAAGCACACACTGTCCAGCCTAGGGTGAAATTAATGTCAACTGGCCTAAGTCATTGAAAGTCTTACTAAAGAAAATTTACCTCTTGGCTGGAATCCAAGCCTTCATTATTTTTTTATGGTAAACCTCGTTTTAGTGAGTTATGCCGTTTGTGTTTTACTGAGGTCCTTACAGCAAGGCAAGGCTTAATTAGACATTCTGAAAAATGGGCATCACTTATTGGGACATTTCAGTGTTTATATCTGCTAAAATATATTTTCATATCTAGTGGCATAGCTAGAGTGGGGTAAAGTGGGGTGGCCCACCCCAGGTAGCACTTTTATGGGGTGTCACTTTTGTGTCTGTTCTGGGCTACAAGTCTGTATAGATTGTATTGAAATAAAAGTGATTTTAATTTTGGGATAGTACTCACAGTTGAAGGATCTTCCTGATTTCAAGTAACTTAAACTATGGCATAGATATTGACAGATGAAATAGTTTTTGATGATAATATTGAAGAATTTGCCAATAAAAAAGCAAAAGAGGTTACATTGTAGAAAGTTGTAACTTTCATTTCAAAAATAAAGATGGTCCTAAGATTTTACACTTATTTCCCTATATATCGTTTCTGCTTTTTAACTGTTACTGATAAAGTTTAAGTATGTTTGATGTGTACTTAAACTTTAAAGCATACTGTATTTGGATGTGAAAGTAATATTATAAGGATACACAAACTAGTTTTATTATAACTTTAAGTGTGAGTTACTGTGCAATATATATATATATATATATATATATATATATATATATTTGTAGAGGGCAGAGGGCAGCCTCAGACATCACACACCCTAGCTATGCCAATGTTCATACCTGAACTGTAAACAGGGGTGTTTATTCAAAGGCATGAACCCACTACAAACCATGCCTATAAAAACATAAATGAAATGTTTTTAAATCTGTTAGAATATTAACAGAAAAAAATTCATCAAAGATTTGGTTGAAACACAAGTAATGGGGAATTGTGTCAGGGCATCATTTCAAAGTGAAAAATAAAAATTGAAATAGTAACAACAAATAACATTTTTATTTCTCCTTCAGTACTGAGTACATTTTATCCTATCAAAATGATTTTATTTTTAGGTCATCTGCTCTTATCAGATCCATACCTTGGATTGAATGCCATTTTTGGCCCTTGTACTCCCTATCAATTCCGTTTGACTGGCCCTGGAAAATGGGCAGGAGCAAGATCTGCCATACTTGATCAATGGAAACGAATGCATTACCCGACAAACAAACACCTGAAATCAAATCTATCACCATGGATAAAAGACTTTCTAATTACATTTGTTATATTTTTTGTGCTGATTCAAATTTTTGTCATTGGAATATTCCTGTCAAAATAATTCTGACAGGATGAATATATGGAAAGGTTTTTTTTTCTTTTTCCTTTCACTATGTATAAAAATAGTTTTTCTTCTCTCTTTCAACATACATGCATAAAAATGATTTTTTTTTTCATTATACAAGTGGGAATTTTTTTTCTTTTCTTTATGTAAGAAAATGTTTTCTCTCTCAATATGGATTTTATGTTCTAGATATATTTCTCTAACATATTTCCTGTAAATTGTCAGAATTGTTATAATCAGTTATAAAAATGAACAATTAAAAGAAAACAGTTAACAGTTCAAATTTGAATACATAATAATTATGGTTTACAGTGATACAAGTCTCAGTGATTAACACGTAGCTGGGGGGAGAAGAAGTGGATTCATGCCTTTCCCTTGTGGTATTTGTGCATAAGTGAATATAATGAACCCAATTGGAACTGGAACTTGGCTCTCCAATTAACAATTTCATGCCATTTATCTCATGGCAAAAATGAATTGGATACTTGATATATATGCAATTAATAGATGTTTTAGAAGAAAGAAAATATTTTTTCAGTACAATGTTTGTTCCCTGGAGTTGGAAAAATGTCAAGTGTATCAGTATTTTTGAAGTAATATTTTGTTATATAAATAAATATAAAAAAAATCAACATTTCACAATGAATGATTTTCTAAAAACGTGGATGAGTTACCTCCCTTGCACTCTTAATTCAACTCTCTGATCGAAAGAAAGCCTTGTTTCCGATTTTGAAGTACGGTTTTTATTTCTTCCGCCCCTCTGCCCAACCTCCCCCAAAAGGTGCAGGAAATTAATGAAAGAAAGACAAAGAGAGCAGAATTTTGTTTTTGTAACTTTCCGACCAGATTTCTATAACTTGTATATAAACTATTGACTTTAGATTATGGAAGTAATTTTTTTAAATGATCATTCAGTATTTGAAGTTGGAATTCATTGCCTAAAGAATATTAACAACAACCATGGGCACATGTATAAGATTATGATTAAAAAATATTAGTCTATAAAAATATATATATATATATATATATATATATATATATATATATATATATATAAAGCAATCACTGTGTGTGCGTGCATAAATACTTGTGACTATGACCATGTGTACATATATGCACATTCATTCAAAGTCTGATTGATCTATCAAACCATTAAAAAAAAAAAAGAGTTCAAAATGTCTGCCTTTCACTCTTGTAATTCCAAATGATTCTCTCCAGATCTATACGGATATATTTTCACAATTTTATTTATATGTAAATCATTTTTAAATGTAAAGCTATTTGTTGACCTTGGACTCAGCCAAATCTGGCTCAAAGTCACAAATATGAGAGCATTCAATAGAGAATGAACTCATTTACCATGGCTTGCAAGATAAGTATATTAAATAGCAGTTAATGATTTTGATTTTTTAAAGTATTCAAAGAAAGTAATAAAAATATATAATGTTCATCTTTGTGCATATAACTGAGAAAATAAATATATTTATCTCTAAATTTTGATTGGATTAATATTTTCTTAATTTAGTGTCTGGCTGTGTGTAATTAGATAAGAAAACATCTCGCCATAGACTCTATACACTGTGATAATTCTTATTGCTTAATATGGGATAATAAATCAGGCAAATTGCTGAAAAGTAGTGAAAAATTATATGAATTTAGGTTAAATCCATAGGACTATGTCTTTTTCTTAAAACTTAATGAAAATAATGTTTATTGATACATTGTAGCCTGTGGAGTTATAGGTCAAAAATAAAACATGTATAATCTTATCCCTGACTTATAAAGTGCATAAAAAAATAAAAATGAAAGAAATATGGATCACCAGCAGTGGTAATAATCAAAACATTGGCACTTATGTTTAAAAATAAATTAAATTTAACCTTATATAACCAATAGTTTAAGAATATGATTTCTTATTCTATATGATTTTATGAAACTTAATAGAATGAATAAGTTTTTTTTTATACTACATTTTTCTTATATATATAAGTTTTCTTATAAATATATCAAAATGTGGAACAAAATAATAGTTTTTGTTTTTTTGTTAAATAGAAAGGCAGTTTCTGCTCAAGGTTAAATGACATTGAATGAAATGGACAAAAAATAAATAATTATAGCATATGATATATACATATATATGTTTTGTGTATGCACTGCTTAGAGATGGGAAAACTTCTCAATTCAGTTGTGGAATCTTCTGATGATGTATTAAAAATGCTGTAACAATTTAGTTTCCGGCTGTGTAATTTGGTAAGAAAACATCTCACCATAGACTCTATACACTATAATAATCTTTTTACTTAATATGGGATAATAAATCAGGCAAATTGCTGAAAAGCAGTGAAAAATTATATGATGATTTAGGTTAAATCTATAAGACTATGTCACTTTCCAATTATGATGGAAGAAAATATTGCAGATTTATTTGATTGCTTTCTACAATTTGATAATAATTGAGAAAAAATATTTTTCTTGGAGAAAAAATACAACTCAAGATACAAATTTTAATGTTTCTATCTGTTGCTTATTGACTGATTAAACAATATTTTCACTTTTTTTTAAATCAGAAATAATTTAAAAATAATTTGCATTTCAATGTCAAAGCAAATCTTCCCTTTTATTCTTCACTTTACCTTTTAATAGTTTTGCTGTAAAGTAGATATTTATTTGACCCCCCACTGAGTCAGGTTGTGACACAAGGTCAGTTTTTAACGTGGGGACCCAAATGTTTTCACTCGGGTCGCTGGTCCAAGCTGGTCATAGCTGGTCATAGCTAGTCCAGGCCAGAGCCGGTCCAAGCTAGTCATAGCTGTGATACCACCAGCACAGGGACGGATCCCTACACCAGGTAAGTATGAGTTTTGCTGTAAAGTATTATATCACAGTGGTTGATACTCAAGTCTTATGTAAGAGAAACCATTTATAGTCTCCACTCTTCACATATTTAAATTACTATTACAATTTTTATTACATTCCACTATCTTAATAATGAGAACAATAATTCATATCATGTCAGAGACCATAATTTATATAAAAGTATCTATTCTATAATATAAAACAAGGTAACTTTATATATTTATTAGTCTTGTATGATTATTTTCACTAATTGAGATAATGAAATGTTAAAACATTTCATTATCATTTCATTATCATAACATTTTCATGTTATTGTGACAAAATGTAAGGTGTTACACTATGACAATAAATGAATATCCCATTAATAAGTACAGGAGATCAGGCTACTAGTACATTGCCTTTTATTTCTTTTCATTCATATTTTTATTTTAATGATTTCAAAATCAGAATTCTTATAAACAATCAGTGGTAATATTTGAATCTCATTATGCTGTTATTCACTTTTAACATAGATTTATATTTGTAGAGAGAACTAACCCCAACAAACATAGCTATGTATGGTACAAGATCAAGGGGAGATAGAAAGTTTAAGGTAGAAAAGTTTGACCAATATTCTAAGTGGAAAATTCCTATTTACTTTTAAAATCTATATTGAATGTTCTGAATTTTTACTGTGATATTGGTAAGAAATTTGCAACTATCTCAACCACCAAGCAGGTTAACTGTTTGCCTCTGTATAAAATGTTTCTACCTATAAATAATACATGTGTGTATGAAAATGAATCAACTAAAAAGGAAAATCGAGGAACAGCAGCCAAGAGTGATTATGGTTTGAAAATACTGACATAGGCTTGTTATTCATTCTGATATGGTTGGAATTTTTCTTGATTTTTTGTAAAAGCTTAACCACAAAAAATTCTTTTTGTTTTAAAGATAAAAAAAAAACAAAATAACTTTTATATAGAATAAAGAAAAGATGTTTATATAATCTTATAGAAATCTTTCTTTATTCTCTGCAGATCAATTGTCATATTTTGTTCAGTTCCAGTCAAAATGAATGCTGTCATGTGCAGAAAATCTTGAGGTATGAAGAAAGATATGAGAGTAATTGCACAGTTCTTTTGTTCAACCCACACTTTTAAACAATTTGATTCTTTTTAGATTTATATCCATAAAGAAGATGTCCCAAATCTTTGGGGTGGATTTTGTGATTAAATTCAAGGTTTCTTATAAATATGTCAAAATATGAAATAAGATAATTGACATTTTTTTTTAAAAAGAAAGGTAATTTTTTTCTCTTGTGCTCTAAATTAAATGATGTTGTATTAAGAATTTAGTTATAGACACAAACAAACACTATTCATCATTATCAACAGCAACAACTACTACTACTACTGCTACTAATACTACTACTACTACTACTACTACTACTACAACAATAATAATCCCTAATCAAAATACAATGTGTGCAGATATAGATACTAAGTTACCCATGTTCTCAGAAAGTGAAACACACACTCAAAAGCGAATCCAAAACAAAACTCGTGAAATTTCACGCCTTGATTCAAAATGTTTTTCTGCCAATAGAAAACTAGGAAACATTTAAAAACAAAATTCAAATAATCTTCAATTCTCAGAAACAAATTCTTTTTTGAACTTTTTCACGAGCCAACACAAAGTTTGTTCTTCGTCCAATGGAAAGGCCCGAATCATATCCGGAAGTGAATTCTCAAATGAACTTTTCATGCCCCACAAACAAAATAAAAGACGGGCAAGTTCGCCTGTCACCAGAGAGGAGACGAGCGTATTAACAAGTCTCTTGACAAATGTCAAGCTATTGTTATTATTATCTCTACCTTTCTCCCTCACCTCTTTTATACTTGATAAACGAACGGAACATTTTAAGACTGAGTGATTACTTCAAAGACATTCCTACCCTATGATAATGCTCATATATACTTACATACATACATATGTTCCTGTCTATGTACACATAAACTCATTCTTGCAAAGACTACTACGAACATTTTGACAACCTTGTATCAACCAAAATACATTAATTTTATTTGTAAAAGCCTTAATTGATTTATATGTATATAAAATTGTTGTTTCAATTTACAATTTGATTTTCTTATTTTATA